TGGTATTACTGTGAGCAAATCATCAGTGTATGATATTGCAAAGACAAATGGTGGATGGAACGGGTTATATATTCATTATAGCTTTATTTAAGGTCTAATATTCTCACTATGAGTGTGTACGGAGCCTCTTTCTGCTGCGCGCTGTCCTCCGCTCCTGCAGGTGGCGCTGTGGCAGCCGCGCTTGGCCCTTCCTTCTCTGCGCTGGGACCCGAGGGCGACGTGTCGATGAAGACCTCGTCCACCACCCGGAAGCAGATCTCCTCGCCCTGGTCCATGTAGAGGTCGTGAGCGCCCTCGTCCGTCTCGTACTCCCACATCCACACCTGCTCCGCCTCATCGCTACGCCAACCGTGAAGGAACAGAGCATGCTGGGTACATGATGCTACAAATACACTGGTAGCTAATTAATAGTGTCATGTTAATGTGTTGGTAGAAGCGATGATTCAGGATACAATTTAGCCGGTTGCTGTAGCGACTCTGGCGGGATTATGATGTCATCGAAGAATCCGAGGCTCACTGTGGAACCGACACACGTGAAGTCATTATTCACCTCATAACAACTTATGACAACATGCAGACTTTTCCATTTCCAAATAACTTCTATATTCTAATTAAGCCATCATTCTGCAAACAAAGTTCTAAAGCTCTTAATCTACTGGAATAAAGGGTTGACAATGAATATGAACCATAATGATCTGCATGTAAATGTGCTCATTGTGTTATTTCAGTATGAGTGAGATACTGTTATAATTTGTATTAATATTTTGAATTTGGTTTTATTTTAGTATTTTCTGTTTTTATTTTTATTTTAATTAAGTTTTTTTAGTATTTTTTTTTTTTGTATTTGTTACAAATATTTTTAAATATATCTATACAGTTTTTATAAATTTTTTATTTCAGTTTTAGAACAAATTAAACAAAATAGCTAAAATAAGGTTAACTAGCTAAAATACAGTTTTTTTACTATTTTTTTTCATTTAAAGGTGACATATCATGAAAATCTGACTTTTCCATGTTTTAAGTGCTATAATCAGGTCCCTGGTGCATCTACCAACCAAGGAAACGTGAAGAAGATTAACCCAGTAACTTTGTTTTGGTAAGCCTTTTTCTGCAAGCCTCTGAGAAAACAAGCGTGTCTGATTTCGCTCCCCTAGTGAGATGGCAAAGGGATCTCATTATAATATTACCGCCCCTTAATCTGTAAATTTCCAACCACAGCACCATCATTTGATTTCGCAAGCGACAACGGTGTACCAGCTCTAATGCCATGGCGAAAGTTTGAGCAAAACATGCTAACTGTTCTGTCTTTGGCTGCACAGACGAGCACAGAACACTATTTACAGTCCCAGCCTCAGAGCAGACAAGAGAGCATTTTTTATTGATTGATTGATTTATTTACTGTATATTGCTGCTGCCACACAGATTTCCCAGCTGTTTACCTTCATAGACATAACCGACTGTTTTTGTAACTCATGTGTGTTTTTAATGTAAACTTGTGTGTGAATAGCCGGGTTTCCATCCAAAATTGCGGATTTAACTTATGCGCAAAACTGGAATAGCCTATCGCATAAAACATTTGCGAACAAGCATCGTTTCCATCCAAGTCAAAGATAACAAAATCGTCGCTTCCTCATAAACTGGCACTATAAATCACTAAGAAAAGTAGAATATAATAATTTTCAAATATAGGCTCATAAATTACTTGCGCCAGACGAGCAGACGAAACACAATGAATGCGGCCATTGCTTTTGGAGGTGGATGCTGCTGTTTGGAAACGCAGTCGTGTGAGACATTTCTGGGAGGCAATTATACAGAAATACTTTGATGACAGACTTTGCTCGTGCATTTCCGAATGACCATAACAACATTTCAGATGCTGTGAATGAGATCGGTCCGCTGGTTAGTCAGGTTTTGCCATCCCATAGCCCAAAGTCACATGACTTTGTTGATGCGCTTGGAGGAATTTATTCACAAGATGCATTTCCATCTCCAATTATTCGCATCAACCCTTTTTCGCACAAGTCAAAAACCACCTCAAGCGAGCGTAAAAACTTTTTTGCGAATTAATGGATTTTTATTCGAAATTTGGCATTTCCATCACTCGTTTCTTATGCGATACTTCAAAATGCGCATTAAAATAGGGTGATGGAAACATAGCTAATGAGAACTTAGTTTAGTAGCCTACTCGCATGCTGTGACAGCCGCTTTCTGTACGTGTGCACTCAGAAAACGTATATCAGAAGTTTAAACTAATATTGTTTAAAACGCATTTCAGCACGATAAACATGGTAATCAGAACCAAAACAGATGTTTTTAGCAGGTACTAGCTGTAATGGCTCAGCTCTATTCTGGAAAAGGGGGCGGGGAGCAGCAGCTCATTTGCATTTAAAGAGACAGGCATGGAAAACAGGTGTTTCTGCTTCCGCTCAAAATAGGCATTTTCAAGATTATATAATAATTGATCTGTGGGGTATTTTGAGCTGAAACACAGACACATTCTGGGGACACCAGAGACTTATATTACATATTGTAAAAAGGGGCATAATATGTCTCCTTTAAAATGAGCCTCATGAGAAAGGATTATCTCGACCACCAGATAGCTCGAAATTAAGAGATTATTTAAGAAAATGTGAATAAAGCAAATTAGAGAAAGAAAGAAAGAAAGCGCAGTCGCTGAAGCTTATTGAGTCACTCGGACAGTATAGGTTAGGAGGAACTCAAGTGACCTAGATTCATAATGCTGCAGTTTAGTCCTTGCATTTTAAACCTTTATTTTAATTATGATAGAGCCTTGTTATAGTAACATACCGTATTAGTTTCCAGTGACCGTCTGTTTGTTTTTGGAATTTATAGGCTATATTAAAGTGATCTGTTTAGATTCATCTCGTCAAGCAAGTCGAATTATTTTTAATATCTTTTTTATATAAAAATGACAACAAATAACGTCTATAATAGTGATAATGACAGCACGTTACATTTTAGTCCGATGCTGAGAGAAGCGCACTAGCAGCCCACTGTTGCTATGGTTACCTCCTTATATTAACCCTTTCATGATCATTTGTTTGCAGCTAGGTGAAAATACACTCTACTTTGGTAACTTTTGTGGTTACTTAAGCGTTTAAACCCCTGTTAAAAAAGTACTCATTTGTCAAACAAAATCTTATGTACTTTTATGAGGGTCAGACCTCCCTCCCTATAAATCACACCCCTATCTGTATCATATTAGTTGTTATTTTTAGAATAGATTTTGATTAATCAGCTGTCAAGAAACCCTATTGTTCCAAATAGCTCTCAATGAATCCGTTGTGTGGCTGATTTGAAATGCTGTATATAAAAGACCTATTGCTATAATGTCAGAATCCTGTAAACGTACTAATACTCTTGCCTTGCTCATCCTTAAGGAACGCGTCAATATTTTACCAACACGTTTAGATGGTTTTGGCTGCCCTGCCGCCTTTGGTGTTCCCAGAGGGAGGAAAACCGCAATGATGAGAGGCTAATGAGTGTAAAGACTTCCTCACGTTGTCGAGCACGGGCGCTGTTGCGCCAGACAACACAGAGAGGACAAAATAACACAGGGATAAAACTACAGCAGAATAGTTGAGATATACAGAGCTTTGCCGCTATGAGTCCAGTGCTTATTATCATGCTGTACGTTGCAAATTGATCATCGTTACTAAAAATATGCACGGCTGACAAGGTGTGGTGATTTCTGAAGAGATTATTAGCTATTAAGG